CACACACACACACACACACACACACACACACACACACACACACACACACACACACAGGGGGTGGGGGAAGGGAGAGAGAGAGAGAGTCTAGATTCTGCATGAGAAGACGTGCAATATTTTGCCCCAGTTACCCTCTCATTTTGTCTCACCTTTCCCTTTATGCCCCTCTCCCCGTGTAGTCTCCCTTCTTGGTACATATATGTATAAATATACATATTCATATATGTCCAGATTAGAGACTTATATAGGAAGAGATATAGATAGACTATGTATATTACATATTCATATACAAATCTATGAGAGACAATACTGAGCTTGGCTTATTCCATCTAATATAATGATCTCCAGTTGTACTTGTTTTCTTGTAATCATTGTCTTATGGCCGAGTAAAACGCCATCATGAGTATACACAGCCAGGCCTGGTAGGACTCCCTTTTTATTCCTAGCACTTGGGAGGTAGAAGCAGGTAGATCCCTATGAGTTTGAGTTCTAGATTAGCCAGAGCTACATAGTAAGACTCTGCTTTAAAAACAAAACAAACACCAACAACATAAAATAGAGTGCATATTTTTTTGTACCATCTGCTTTTAGATAAAATCGTGCCTCCAATGAGCCATGTTGTTGCAAGCACCAACAATTCACTCCTTCCTCCTGTATGCTGTGTGTCACAGGGCTGTACCACAAAATGTACTGATGTTCATCCCTGGTAATACTCTAATGTGTTCCAAGATGGGGTGGCCTGTTCTTCAGCCAACCCGATGGCAGCCTGGGAAGACACCATAGCTGCTTTCTGCCCATGCTATAATGGCTCCTGACCTGTCACAGATGACAGGAGTCAGTGTGAGAAGAGCCATTATCTTCATAGAGTCTCTGAAGTGGAAACTTAAGGGTTCTTTGGAAAGTCAGTTGTGTCAGATGGTGGTTCCTGAGGCAGACACGTGAAGGAGTGTTTTCCTGAAGCAGACACAGGTGAAAGGATGGACATTGCTAAAGCAAGAATGTGAAGGGACATGTGATGAAGGATTCTTTAACAACATGCTCATTGGTTCACCTTAAAATGCTTAGCCAAGCTCCATTTGTTGTGACTCCATAGAAAGAAATGCACCAAAAAACTTCTGGTGATGTTTTGGTAGCTTCTTGCTGCTTCCTCGGAT